TTCATCGCTGAAATCGGATTATTCACAATTTTCCATACAGTTGATGTTGGAATTTTCGTCAATGTGGCCGTTTCTTCTAAAGATGTTTGCTTGCTGGCACCACGTTCAATGAGAGTCAAATAAACATTGTTTATAACTTCCTTAATCTCAATAGAATAGTGTTTTCTTCATTTGGGCGGGAGCATCTCCTGAGATACACTAGACTCGCATATATTTTGCATAAATCGCACACGATTCGACACACGCTGTATTACACACGATTAGAATGATTACTAATAAACTTAAACTAAGTAGTATACCAAACCAAAGAATATTAAACACAGGTAGGTATAAAATTATTTTCTCTTACGGACCACAATTTTAGCTGAATTTAAATTCCGCAACCTTAGGTAATAATCTTGTTGCATTGTATGTTAATGACCACCCTTGGATAATCCCATTCAAATTGGTCTCTTTCTTATATCTATGAACAGACCATACCCAGACAGTTTCGAGAGTACGGTTACGTACGGTACCTGACAAGTAGCTGATTAAAGACCAACGCAGTGGCGTCTAAGTTTGAAGCACACTAATGAAGCAATAATCGGGCTGAATCGGCTAGTAAGTTATGCACATATTTCGAAAATTTTATTATTTAATTAATAAGTTACAGAAATATGTATAGGAAGGATAAAATAGACTGAGCTGACAGTTGATCTAGAAAAATTTGATCATATATTACAGGTAAGCCCCATTATAATAAGTTGTAATATTAACTACATTTTTAATGTATAGGGTGGGCCAAAGAAGTTGCTTTCTTATGGAAACATATCTTATTTGAAGACAGAAAATTTTCGAGTCCCCGCTTTCTGAAACTCGAATTTTTTGAAAACTTGCTGGTTCACTAGATGGCGTTTGTAAAAAATACCATTTAAACTTTCTGTTAAAAAAATGTTTTTGGCAACTTTTTATGCGGAATATCAGGGTGTTTCGTTTACGCTTTATAGACAAACTTAAAATTATCTGATGAACGATACCTATATTCGTACCTATGTAGAAAGAATTACCCCTTAACGATATAGCTCAGATTGTTATATACAAAGCTTTAAGATCGCTGAAAAAATACCTCTGCATCGCAATTACAGTATAGGAATAGCACAAAAATTAATTTAATAATATTTCCTTAAAATTATTAATAATGTAATAACAAGCTATTAAAATATTAAGTGTTCGAACTGCAATGTTATCCAACCAACTGTTGACAGTATTAATAAGTTTGAAAGTGGTTAAAGTCTCAAAATCCCTTCGAACTGCAGCTTCCGGTTGTAATTCTCTACATGTAAGAACTTTGATATTTCAGTAGTCAGAGAGAGACAAATTGTAAGATCTGGCCGTTTATCTTTCCATCTTGCCAAATTAATTATTTAAAAAAATAGCTGAAAAGGTAATGTTAATAAGCTCTCTTCAAATCTGTAAAAATATAAAGGGTGTCTCATAAGAAATTTTAGTTTTGTGTCAAAAGTGGGTAAACGGAACAACCTTTATAAATACTTTTAAGATTTTAGAATTACGCATAAAAGGTTGCTGAAGAAATGCATTTTCAAATTTAAATTGTTTTTAAAATTAAAATAGTTGCGTAGCATTTTTAATTTCCAAATTTTTTACAAACACTTAATTAGCGTCCAAAATTCGAGCCCCAAAAACTGGAGTTTCGAATAAAATGTGTGTTCCCATAATAAAACTTGTTTGGCCCACTCTGTGTAAAAATTGTTGCTGTTATTATGACAGATATTAATATTACTAAAATAGCTTTAAATGACATACATGCATCTTAGTGTTTTGGTTAGTACATGTGAAAAAAGATATGTTGTAAACCCTACATTTTATTTTCTTCTTATTTACATGTTATTTTTTGACTACAATTTCGAATACATACAATTTTTACCAAAAATGAAACCAAATAAAATAATAATAATTTTCTTCTAGCCTTTTAAGAGGTACGAGGTATGAGATGCGGTTTTCGGGATTTTCCTAGCCTTTTCGATTTTTGAGTTATGGAGCTTTTTGAAAATTATATATTTTAAGATCCCTCTGTATCGTTCCTTATATGGCTGTTTGCCTGGGATTGAGTGCTGCATCCAAAAAAATATATACATGGTCAAGTCAATCAGTTATCCGATCCTATAATATTTTTTCATTGTGACATGGCGATACTATTTTTTTATTTTGAACGAACAAACTCAAAATTCAGCGTGTTCAATTTACTTCATTTGTAAATCAGTGACTATTTCTATAAATATGTATTGAAGACAAGGGAATACCAAAAACTTGGCAGAATTATCAGTTTTTCTATTTTGAATTTTTTGAATTAATTTCATGCAAATATTTCCTATGTTTTCGCCTTAGTCTCCATCGTAATGACGTTTTAAAGGTTTTCTTTATTGGTAGAGTTCTTTTTTAATAACCGCAGGGTACCTTCGTTGTAGTTCTATTTTAGCTATTTTCGTGGAGTCGATCCCGTACCTATTCGGTATAAGTGATGAATTTTACCAACAAACTAATCCACGATATTTGTCCGCAAACAACTAGCTAAAATTTTACGAATTTACCGCTTAGAAAAATAATTATTATGCTCATCATATTAAATTTATGGGTTACAGATAAAATGAGAAGAATTGAACAAGAAAGTAAGTTTTGCCCGATTGGTCATTTTACCTTTTCAATGGATGCATACAATTTTGTAGTTTTGTTGTCATATTAAAAATTTCTGTCAACCTCCCAGTTAAAAGGCAAATTAAATCTGAAGGTTCTGAGCTTGAAAGCATATCTAAAATTTAATTCATTTTGTAATTTCTGAATCAAACAAATTTAACATCATACTGTATACTTAAATAAAGTATATCTTTACCCTTCGTTGTACCTCAGCCTATCAAAACAATAACCAATAAATTTGAATTCGTTCCTAACGAAAACTGGTTTCGGCGATTCCAGAATCTGTTGAACATACCCCGAATGAGTTCAAAATGTACTATGCGTCTTCCTCGCACAATTTTTAATCCAGAGTGATAATTATTTACACCTCGAACAGCTAGTACTACTACTACTAATGCGCATGCGATAGTATCCCAAATGCCTTCGTAATATTAGCAGATTATTGCATTTAAATATGTCTTCTTAATTTTAGCAGTCACTCCGAAAGTGCCTGCCAAACTTTTACAAGCATCATTTAATCTTAAATTTATAAACAAGCTCTACCACCACTCCATTTTTTTAGGGAACACTTGGCCATTTCGCGCACATAAGTTTAAACAATTTTCTAATTCACAAACTTAAGCTAAACAAATGAATTAGCGCGAACATTAACGACTCAGTGAGTCGTGTTAATGCGCCGTATTCGTCAGTTTACCGCCTCCAAAAGCGAATCGCTACGAACACACGCATAGCGTGGTTTAAGAATTAATTTTAAACGAATAGGTCTATACACACCATGCATAAATTGCTGACTAGCTTACGAATTGCGAACACATGCAAAGTCTGTAGCTTCCTTAACAGATTGAACAAATCAAAACGTATGATGGTTTAAACAAATTATCTTTCATATTTCGCATTATTGAAAGAAGAGCAACTTTAAAAGAGGCTATTCAAAATTGCAAAAATCCGACATGGCCCCATAATAAAGTGTTCCTGCATGCGGCAGTAACATTTTCAGGAAAAGGATAAAACAATTAACATTTATCAGAATCATATCCTGAAAAAATAGTAAACTTTTGATATTTAGGATTTTGTTGGTATGAATAAAGGTTAACTGCTTAACGCTTTGTTTCAACAGATAAATGAGCTTTTTTGAATTCATGAGAACAATGGTATTTGTTGACCAAAACTCATAGGTACAGTCTGTGTCACATTATACAGTCTTGGTTTTTGACTCCAATTATTGAAATAACCTGCTGAGGGTAATAAACCACCTTAGCAATATTATATGTCAGACCATCAGGTACGGACTTTAAAAATGTAAGGACTAAATGTAGAAAATACGTTGCCGCTAATTATATACAAATTATCAATATTTCCTTAAACACTTCTGTTTCCTTCTCGTAGCCGTTATTAAGATTAATTGCAATAGGCTCTATGGTATTTTGTTTGCAAATGCAAAATTTTCACAATTTGTTTTGTATAAAATGACAATGATTACGATCCGGCAGAACAGAAACATCTATTCGTAAGAAGCTTTCTCGAAACGTACGGTAAACCCATGTATTTAACACAGCCACTGATATCAAGCGATACGTGGTCGATCTTTATCTGACTCACCCCTGTCTTGTCCGTTACCTATGAATAAATTATTGGTTCTTGGGTTTGCTCAATCACAATAGGTAATATCTTTTTGGGGGAGGCTTAGTCAAAAGTCATCAAGTTACAATTCGAGACAGACCCATACCTCTACAATCTTTGATTTCCACTGGAACTAATATAATAGTATATCATGCAACATGTGTGGTAAACGACATTTGTTGGTCAATTCTGACAGTCATGCCAGTGACTGTATTCGTGTTGTTTTGCAAAAAAGTACTCAAAATCTACCGGTCTTAGAAAAAGTATAGTATGCAAAATGTTTGGTAAAATTTTTGACTTACTCGTGTATTAAACATTCGCTCCGCTACCCACTGCTCGTGCCAGATAAACTTATGACTCAAACGCCATTTACCACACTTGTTTCATAATATACATTTTTTTTTTGTTTCTTATATATTGTTCATAGTCTGAATATTAAATATCCAAAAGTATCAAAGATAATCTAATTTACTCTCACTAACCAACTGAGTAACCAAAACTAATTTGGAACTTCATAAATTAAATTAAAAAAATCGATTTGCAAAATAGTCAAGTATATTAATAAATTTTGTAAGTTTGGCAACGAGGAGACCGAATCAGATCGGGAACATCCGACGAGCCCCACCACTTGGTGCGCTTAAATTGTACCCCGCCACGGCGCGCACCCATTATTCGTGTCCGAGGTTGTAGAGGTGTCGGTGCTGTCTCCGTTCTCTCTGCCTTCGAACCGTGTCCCTACCCATTGTCTGCATTAACAACAATTAATTCAATTCAACCCCAACCGAAAACCTACTTGCGAGACGTATAAGTGCACTTTCAAAGGAACGTGTGCGTCGATAAAGTGATTTTAATGATGTAGTGATTTGGATTTTGCTTACTGCGATGCAAGTGCTTTACGCGTAGTGCCCTCGCCCAGCGGAAAGTTTAAAAATACGGAGATGAAGCGCGCCGCGCTCCGCAAGATCGTGTTTATGAAACTTGCTATTTTCGTGTCTTGACTGCCACGTAGTGGTGCGTTTTGCTTCGTTATTTATTTTCGAGCCAAGTGTAACGACATTTCGCATCAATTATATTGTGATCTTTGTTTCGGTCTTCCGCAATTTCGTTTCGCCACAACTTCTTGAATGACTGCTGCGATTCATTGTTTACTGTTGGTTTTTAAGTGTATTGTGAAATTTACTCACGTTGGATACCCTAATATTTAGCGATATATTTTTGGATTAATTGACTTTTAATGAATAACGGCAAAGGTAAGTTCGACGTTTTTATTGATAGTTGCTTGTCGAATTAAACTGTTGCGAAGTTAATCGACAAATAATACAAGTACGACCTGTTGCCACGCCGATGCAAAGGGATAACAATTTATTTATTTTTTGAATAAGAACTGAATCCAAACAAGTTACTATGTTTAAACCTTTGCGAAATAATTTACATATTCTTTTAACCAGTTTGATCCGACGTTTGAGAGTGTTTCTATCATATCGTTGGGAAACAGGTTCAATTTCATTTTATTGGAATTACTTAATACAACAATATGTGCATTACATATTTTCCATGCTCCCTTTAAAATTTAATTTAATCGATTTGATAGTATTTAGGTGTGGACATTTTGTGCTTTAATTCAGTTTAATTATTTCAAAGTTGTTAGGTACCGATCTTGTTACCTGATTTTGGTGGAAGTAAAACAGGTAGGTCCCTAGGAATTGACACACATCTATTATGTATTTATTATTTACATACGTACATACATATTTCGTACGTTTATTAAGCACAAAAGTACGCCCATTGACTTTCCAGGTAAAATAAGTTATTTGATTTTTAGTACTCTCCTTTATTGAGTTTGAAAGTGGAAATGTAATCAAAAAATAATTGACCTTGCAAGTTGACAATAAGTAAAAATGTTTTAGAACTCCCCTTAGGCGTGTAGTTCTTGTTTATAGATTTTCCAGATTGACATTAAGAAGTTTAGTTATAAATTCGGGAGTTCTAGAATCATATCTAATGGTGAAAAACAAATTGTTTTGATAAACTGTCATTTTTGTATTGTTTGCAAAATAACAGCTTTGTTAAAAATTTATTTGTTATACTACGTAGGAATTGAATTTAATATTATTGTCAACGATTATTTCAAATTGTGTGATTGGGTATTGGGTATAGCCGGGTATATCAGAATGATTGCGAGACGCATAGAGAGATGCTTCTGATGAAATTAAACGGCAGAAAGATCAATGCATCTGCCTAATTGGTAAACAAATTAAATCGGAATCAAAGTTTACCACAAATTTGTAAATGAAAATGTTTGTAGTTAAATTGTGTAAATATTTAGCATAGTCATATTTATAAATTTGTTAAATAATAAGCTTTTGAAAAAACTTGTTTGATGCTTATATACCGCTATATACTATGTAAGGTTAAAGAAAAACACTTTTAAAAAATGACTGCAATATTTAAAATAGATACCTACGCGTTATGTAAATGAAGATTAGACGAATTTACTATAATAGCAATTGTTACAGCCCTGACATTGAACAGCCTAGATTGATGTCTCATTCGTGTTTCGAATACCCGAGCTAAATAAGATGTCCTATCGAACAACAGCCATGAGCAACTTTATTGAAAGAGTATTCGCTGGATTAAAGATTAAATTACATATCTGACGGTTGTACTACTGTTACACTCTTTATTGGAAAACTGGACCGTGTGGTAGGAGATTCAATTTCGTATTTATCAGTAGATTAGCACATTAGAAATTCGTTCTTTGTATGGGTATTCCAACGTATGGGGTCTGTTTCAGTTTTAATAATACAATAATATTTTGTCTCTGGCTATAATCTTTATTAATGTTAGATAAATTTGCCTATTGGTCGTGATTATATATATTTTTTATAATGCTTTTGGATCTGGTGGTCTTCTGATGGTTGTCACCTCAAAAATATCTCATTCGTTATTCTGTGTAGGATTTTATTATCGTAAAGGAAGTTAAGAAGGAGGGCGACGACCTTATGCGTGTTAAGTTCCACCGTCTCGAGCTATCCTGCCGATTCGCAAGCCTCATGTCAGGTCTGGCTGTTGGCTCTGTCCGAGGCTCTGCCCTTCTTTGTGGTATACTGATATCGAGTGTGTCATGTATTTATTTCTTATTGGCAAACCACCTAAACACAATTAGTAGCTTATGTGTGATATATAAGAAGTAAACCTTGCCTATATACTGATAATACAGGAACTTATGAGGCAACTATAATCAAAATTGAGGAAGTCCATTAAATATGCGCATGCGCGAGATTTAAAATCGCACACTTTGTTGCAATCAACAACCAACTTGGCCGCTGAAAGATCGTCAATAGGTTTGGGTGGCAATATGTCCAAATAATATTAAATAATTTTAAAAATACAATGAAATTTATATTTATTTATTTATTGGTGCGTTACGTCGCCGTCGCATCGTTCCGAGAACTAAATGGAGTCGATATTGCTATTGGGATTTCCCGAATCGCTATGTATCGTATTCGGGTATTTCTTGAAGAGGGTTGTAAAATTGGACATCACAAACGCATATTAATTTATTATAAAATACATATTATTAAATAATGATAGATAACACTCTACAATTGCAAGATGTTATTTGAAACATTTTCATCGAATTTGGATAGTCAGCACTAGTCATGAGGTAGGTGAGTAAATATATATCGAATATATCCAAAGGAGACCGGTCTTTAATAAAATGTTAAAAAAATTGAGGTTTTAGTGTTGGTTGTGTTGTAGTTTTGGCTTTCGTTTTGCTGACTTTTGCCGGATTTATTTGATTCCGGATTTATTTATTTTTTGCATACTTTCCGAAGCTTGTTTTTCTGCAAATCCGGCCTATTCGTTGAAATAAAATTTCGAATGTATCTTTATTTTATAGTGTACCGTGAGCCCAGATTCTTCATTTCATCATTCAATCATTTCGTTTTAACTAAACACCGGCGTGCAGGATAAGAACCTGTGAGTCAGTGCATTTAAGGGTGACAAGTGACAGGGAACACGTAAATACCAATTTCGGGGAAGGGGACGTTCACCCTCGTTTGTTGCGCCTTGTATAGTCTGCCGATCAATATTCGGGGGGTCGCTCATAGCTGAACGAAATAAAGTATCGGGTAACAGAACCGCATCACGCGCTCTATACGCGTTATTCGACTATTTAAAGCGATAATTGCCTTAATTTATTCATTCGGTAAATGATGAAAACGGGTAAATTTAATGTAAGACTTACCTTTGACCGACGCGATGTGTCGAAAACGGTCGCTCGCTTTACCGAGGCTCGGATGCTCCAGTGCACACATGCGAATCACTCGCATGTAGCTAATTGTGCGGAAAACTTGTTCTGTGCTTTTTTAATTGGTCAAGCATAACGGTCGAAGTGCCGTCGCAGCCGATATTGTTTTTTTTTTTTGGTACGTCCGCTTACGATGCGCAACATTAAATTGGAAGTGAAGTTATTACCATATACCAATTTGTGTAAATTACGTGTTCCGCCGTGTACTTAAAGAAAACTTTATGGTTCCAAAACGGGTGGAAAGGGAAAATCACATTCGTTCATCATGAACTGCGCCCATTAGCAGAAAATACTTATAATCAGAGAATGGAGATCTGTAATAGAACAAGATGAAGTTCAGTATCGCCGCAATTGCGCTGAACTTCCCCAGCGTGATAATCTGTACAAAAAATTCAACTTGATGACCTAACTAATTCGAGTGGTTTCTGTTTTTGGCCATGGGAGGTTTGAATTTGAAATGGTTTAAAGCGAAAGCCTCCACTTTTGATTGCCCAAACTCGGGACAGTTTTGAACTGTAGTTATTTGGTTGCCGAATACCTCAAAATTGTGTGAAAATATCAGCAGGATCAGGTAAATATTACTCACGTTAAGCAGGTGAAATCATCAAGAAAACTGTGTTGCTCAAACTATGTTGTTTTAAACTATGTTAACAATAAGTTCGAGTTTGACTAGCTATTTAACTCAACCTCTTGTTGGATTCGAAATAACAAATAATTTCCGCAGTTTTTAGCAGTTTGGGCTCGAGAAATCTTAATAGTTTCATAGGAAACCGGCAATTCATGAATGGGTTCCGTCAATTTTCTCCGATACCCCATTAAAAGAAAAAGTCTTTAAGGAAAGTAAGAGAAACATATTTTTGTGAGTTTGTTAAATAGTTCTTTGCTTAATTATCTAATTCTCTCCTGTATTTTATTTTGTAGCACATTTTCTACTAGATTTTATCATGTAATTATTATTACTGGATGCATATTTTCTTTTTCGTACCTTATCGAAATTGATTATGCGATTTTTTTCCCAACAATTCTGTCGAATGCCGAAAAAACAAAGTCGATTCTACGACCCATCCGTTTTTAATTCTCTTAAAGCTCGGAGATAGACAAGTTTTCGTTTTAGAAAAGTCGAGATATGCATAATATTTTAATAAGCGTCGTCGTCAAAAACAAAACAAAAATGAAACTGTTTGCATTATTGGTAAGGCGCTTCCTGCACTCGTGGCTCGGATTTCAATGTTAGGAAATGTATTGCGTTTACGAGCAGGTCGTTAAAAATTAATTGCTTTATCGCGGCGAGCGCGAATTCCCGCATTCAGATAAGTGAAATTTTAAATTGAAACGCGTTAACCGATAAAAAAAAACTTGGAAAACGCGTATATACACTTGGATTCGATACGTTCGTCCCTTCATACAGAGATTTTTATCTAAAATAGGGATGGGCAACTAGTAGTTCGAGCTCATCAATATATGTAGACTTAGATCTGAGGTGGGTATATAGTGTTTCGAAAATCTGAAAATATTTTACTTGTGTGTATAGAATCTCTTCTATGCTATGCTACAGGATCTAATTTACATGACATTTGATCGGTGGTGCGATCTCACTAGCCAATTTTGGTTGGTCTGTTAAATTCGATCACAACCTTGTATTTTGTTAATCGCTTTGTATCGAATTAACCAAAAAAGTTAAACAAAGTTGATGATTTTGCAGCTTGGTGTGCTGCTGTGTATTGTAAAAACTAACAAAAAGTGGCCACAAAGTAATAAACTGCAGGTCTCTTATTCATTTTTTTATGTTCATCGAATGTCTTTAAAATACCCAATTCGAGAGGAATAGATGGTCAAGACCCAAAAAGGGCTTCTATCAATTTAATACAGGGTGTTAGGGAAATGACATCAAATAAACAAATGAGCCCAAGAGGGCGACTTGAGTTGCTCCCATATAAGCTATTAGATAATAAGTGACCTTACTACGGTATGCGCCGCAGACGGCACTTTGCGCCATTTTCGATACACTGAACGTCTTTTCTGAAAACATTTAATGAGGTCTAGGGATATTTTGAGAAAATACTGCCGTAAAAATGCCGATCTGTCAGCGGCCATATTGGATGTTGAATGTCGCAAGGTAATTGGTTAAAAACAGATTATAAATCCCTTGCATGCGCATGTTGAACCTTCTCATTTTTTTTATAGTTACTTCATAAGTTTCTGTGTTATCGGCATAGGCAGGGCTTCTCTGGTAGAGTTCTCCAAATCATATATACCGTTTTTACAACTTTTTATGGTCTTGATTTCGGAATGAGTTTTAGACCCGCCTGTTGTAAAGCGGAACCATCCTTTTCAGCACGTGTACCACAAGCCAGGGTAGTATTTAAAATGTTAGCCGACAAGAACTGTGCCGTGCAGACTATTGTATTTTAAGAGTAGGGATTTTTTTTTATTAAACTGTTATATTAATTCATATTAGTATGCTTTTTATAAATCTTTCTAAAACACTCCCTACTTCAGGTAGCTCGATTTCAAGTTGAATTTGCCCATTAGATAGGTGGATCTCCTAGATTAAAAACACATTAGAAAACTTAAACTGTTTTAAGTGTTTAACATAATAACTCTAAAATATTTTCCTAGGAAAGCAATACAAAATCTTATGTAGATAATTGATTTATAATGGATGTGTTCCCAGTTTGCTATTGATTGATTTGTGGGGGTTGGTGAAATCGGAATAATTCTGTCAGTTTTATGAAACGGTATTTTCTTAGCCGTCAAAGCTTTGGACTTATTTCTATTCCATCTTGTGTTTGTGATTAGTAATTACCAACTTGATAAATAAACATAGAGGGCATTAGCCGATCAAAGAGTGAAATTCTATCTAAATTGTTAACCTCGAACGATGTCGACCTGGTAGTCATTCAGGAAACTCATGCTGCAGATGAACAACAACTAAAAACCAGAGGAAAAATCCCCGGTTACGACCTTCTGTGAGCCACTTACCATCACGCTTATGGCAATGCCACATACGCTCGACGCAGCATTGAAAATGCCCATCTCATGTCCTGTAGCACACAGAACAACATTCACTCCGTTGTAACAAAGATTGGAGATATACATATAACAAACATTTACAAGCCTCCAAAAATGCTTTGGCCACCACAGGTTACAGACTTGCACCCACACCCAGCTGTCTACCTAGGAGACTTTAATAGCCACCACCAGGAATGGAAATATAGCAAAAACGACGAAAATGGAGATACTCTGGTGGGTTGGGCAGAGAGAAACCAACTTTTTCACGTTTTTGATGCTAAAGCCAAGGGCACCTACAGGTCCGTTGCGTGGAAGCAGGAATACACCCCTGATTTGTGCTTTGTGACAAGAGACCAGTACCATAAACCTGTACCAACTAGAAGAAAAGTGCTCGACAACTTCCCTCATAGCCAGCACAGACCCATTATTTACGAAATAGGTATCCAAGTTCCACTAATCACATCTGTCCCTCGACCACGCTGGAATTTTGGCAGAGCTAACTGGACCTCCTTTGCCATTGAGCTTGACAAGTGCCTCCGCTGGATTCCGCCGACGCACAAAAATTACGATAGGTTCATTGGTGCCGTCATCTCTTCTGCTAAGAAACATGTTCCAAGGGGCTATCGCAAAGAGTACGTTCCTGGTTGGAACGAAAATAGCGACCGTCTCTACCAACAATTCCTTGACAGCGGCGACGGTGAGATAGCAGATGAACTCCTCCACAGCCTGGACAAAGCTAGGAGGGATAAATGGACAAGCACAGTCGAGTCACTGGACTTCAAAAAATCGAGCCGCAAAGCGTCTCTTTTAAGAAAACTAGGAGATGACGGCCCAACTGCCCGCCCTAACACTGATATCCACCCAAATAAAGTCGCCTCCCACATAGTCAATACTTCAAGGGGGAAAAGCATCAAGCAATTCACGACTAACATTAACAAGCAGCTGAAGCACCTAAAACTGACCAGCCCGGAAGAATCAACATTCTCCTGCCCCTTTACTATAGAGGAAGTGAACACAGCAATCAAAGACACAAAGAGCGGCAAAGCACCTGGACTGGATGGCGTCCACCCAGAGTTCTTGATACACTGTGGAAAGTCAGCAAGAACATGGTTGTCGAATTTTTACACCAGTATATTACAATCAGGACAAATTCCAAAAAAGCTGAAACAAACCAACATAATTGCAATCCTAAAGCCTGGAAAAGCTGCCGACAAGCCAGAAAGCTACCGCCCGATTGCACTGCTGAATGCAATATATTAACTTCTTGAACGACTTGTTCTTAATAGAATCAACCCAGTACTGTCCTGCCACATCCCAATAGAGCAGGCAGGATTTCGACCAGGGCGCAGCACAACAGACCAAGTTTTAGCTCTTACAACTTACATAGAAGGTGGCTACCAAAGGAAACTGAAGACCTCAGTGGCATTTATAGACTTGACGGCAGCATACGACACGGTCTGGAAGGATGGTCTGCTCTTCAAATTGCTAAAAGTAATCCCATGCAAAACAATATATCGACTAATGAACAACATGCTTAGTAGTAGATGCTTCGCGGTCTCCATGGGAAGTGCAAAAAGCTCTAATAGGACCCTAAACAACGGACTTCCACAAGGATCTGTACTCGCCTACTACTTTATTTAACCTGTACATATCAGATATGCCACCTACCCAAAGTCAAAAATTCGGGTATGCGGATGATTGGGCAATTGCAACCAGGGACAAGTCAATGGAAACTACCGAGCGCGTACTCACAGAGGACCTTGCGACACTAGGGGACTTCTTTAGGTCGTGGCGACTTAAGCCGAATCCGAACAAGACAGAGGTATGCTGTTTCCACCTAAACACCAAAATGGCTCACAGGCAGCTCCAAGTCTGCTAACACACAACACCACCCCAAAATATCTGGGAGTGACTCTAGACAGAACACTGTCTTTTAAACAACACCTCCAAAATACAGCAGCCAAATTAAGAACTAGGAACAACATAATCCACAAATTATGCGGAACAACATGGGGTTCAAATGCTTCCACACTGCGATGCTCGGCCCTGGGGCTTGTCTACTCAACTGCTGAATACTGTGCGCCAGTGTGGCTGAATAGTGCTCACACAAGACTTGTTGACACACAATTAAACACAACAATGCGGTTAATATCTGGTACAATAAAATCCACTCCGACCCAATGGCTTCCGCTACTAAGTTTTATACCACCTCCAGAATTACGACGGCAAAATGCCTTACTGAAAACCTTCAAGAAGATACAGAACAACCCTAACCTGCCAATCCAGAATGAAATTGCTGATGCCAACCGCAATCGCTTGCGTTCGAGAAACCCGCCAACGAGAACAGCCGAAGAACTGAGGACAAACGACATCCAGTTAAACAATCAGTATAGCAACATACCACGGAAGGTCTGGTCCACTCTAAACAGAATAAGAACTGGGCATGGAAACTGTGCAGACTTCCGGTATAAATGTGACCAAATCCAAAGTCCCGAATGTGACTGTGGTGCAGAGAGGCAAACAATCCAGCACATTACAACCGAATGTCCTATAAGAAGATACGACGGTGATCCAGAGGACTTCCTGTACGCGACTCCAGCAACGATTGAATACATATATAATTTAGATATTAAATTGTGACTTAATTATGTACTGTGTATATTTATGCCATACGCTAAATAAATAAATAAAATAACCAACTTGATGTTATTCAATTGTTTTTCAACACTCAATGTGCCATTTTTATTGAGGTACCATATACATTTTATTATAACTTATCCGAGACAATTTATTAAATCCGTTAACTTTTAGCACTTGTATGCACGAAGTACCGGGTTCTGGAACGTCATTGTGAACTCTAACTAGATGGTTGATTCAGACTATCAGGCTAATAACCGCGGCACCTATCAAACAACGTTGGCAAATGTAACTTCACATAGTTATTAGGTTGGATGGCAAATCAGCGGCTATAATCTAAACTAAGGTACCCGAAACCCCCCAATTCACTTGCTGACATTTTAAAGTGACACAAATTGGGGAGTATAAACAAAATCCTGTCATAGTAGGCTTTAATTTTTAAACGTGATGGTCCTCCATCTCTGTCAAATGACACTAAACTCAGCACTTTCTACATACTGAAATGCCAAAAGCCATTTTGGAAATTGTCCCACCATAAGGTACGTTTTTGGGAGCAACAGCTCAGTCAGTCAGTTTATATTCACATAAATCGACAACGAAACGAAGAGCTTCTGACCGGGAAGTAATAAAACTTTTTCAGCAAGTAGTCTCAAACAGTTATATCAAGAAAAGAACAATAGACAGGGTGCACAGGGTATTACATTAAATATCACCCATATAAAAACCTAATTTGTTTTGAAAGCACTGGTTTCACCAAACAACAGCTAGCGGAGCAGTGTAATTTTGGTAATAGCTACTTTAATTTAGCAGACTTACTGCTTCGATTTTTAATCCGATTTTTTAGAGTAGCGAGTGAACAAGTACAGTTTTTAAACTATCATTGTCATTTACCTATTAACATTTGAAATCAGCAACTTTATTAAAAAAGTCCACAGTTTTAGTTTAGTTTTATTCATATCGATCGCAACGTGACGACACCGGATTGCGAACTAATTAAAACGGCACAAATTTGCGCGAAAATCAGTATTTCGCAATCGTGATAAATAATAAGCGTAAATTATTAACGAGGTCAGTATGATGAGTTGAAAAGTAGCGTGTGACACAGAAAAACTGCAACGTAATCGAACGGTTGAAATAAGCATCGCGCGGTCGGAATAAATTTTCGTATCGGAATGTTGCACCGGCAAATTATCGCTCGGTTAACAGTTTTCAAGAAAACGATCTTTATTTTTTATTCTTATTAAATGTTCGGTTCGGAAATCCACACACCGTCTCAAACGAAACAAGCGAACTAAACGAATTTTAGAATAGGTTGTTATATTAAATTTATGTAATATTGGTTGAAAATTACCTTTTGTAAAAATTGAGATTCGGTTAATGAGCCTGTTGTTTGTTATTTAATGATTTTTAATAATTCCTCGGAGAAGTAAATTTTATACAAAAAAATTGCCAAATTTTGTCCCATTCTCAAACACGGTGACTCTTCCGCAGTTGAACATTGCCGACCTATTTCGATTTTATGCACCTTTTCGCAAATATTGGAGATTGTATTACATAAATATATTTTTGCTCAGATTCGAAATAAACTCTCTACGCAGCAACATGGTTTTTATGCGACAAGATCATATATCACCAACTTTCGTTCCCTGTCTTCTTATGTCTGTGGCTCCCTGAACAAACAAGGTCAAGTTGGCGTTATATAAACTGACTTCCATAAAGCGATTGACCAGATAGATCATCACTTACTCATTGAATCTGGTGAACCGTCGACAGTTCGTTGAGATTGAGGGCTTTAGATCAGTTCCTTTTTTTCCAGCTTCTGGTGTGCCTCAAAGTTCTAACCTTGGACCACTTCTGTTCATTATATATATATATATATATATATATATATATATATATATATATATATATATATATATATATATATATATATATATATATATATATATATATATATATATATATATATATATATATATATATATATATATATATATATATATATATATATATATATATATATATATATATATATAAAGTGGACTTGATCATGGTCTTCTACTGAGAAGGTTTGCTCTACTGCCTCTGAGCGTACGCAGAGACTTGCAATCTGTATCATTTCTCTCCAAGTTAATTCATTTCGGAATCGATTGTCCCTTTCTTCTGGAACAATTACGTTTTCACGTGCCTCAGCTGGAAGGGAGACATCAATCAACTTTCTTATATCCATTTTCAAAACTCTATTTACGATATGTGTGTTACGTTCTACAAACAATCATCGCATTGTGATTTATATTATGATGGTCTCCAGGCGATACTTATGCAACTTCGATTGGCATCAGGTTATGCGTACTGACAAGTTTCATCCTTTTCTTTTTGCTTTCATTTTTTTCAGTTATAAGATTAGTTTTGACATCCTCAGTAAATATATCATCATATGATTTATATTTAATATTTCCTGTAATTATTATTATTATTAGTATTAATTATTTGGCCCCTACTAACGGACGTTTATGTCTGCTTGAAATATGCGCAGTCATGCAGAAGAACGTCACACGTTCAAAAAGCACGACGCACAAAATTTCTGTCGCTGGCAGAAACTTTGTGCGTCAACGCGCAGATTCGCCCGCACATCTCAATTTGTGGGTTGAAATTGCATTGTTTTGTAGAATTTAGGATTGTAGAACACTCTCGTGATTGATTGCGTTAATTGTTCTTGCCTTTAGGTATTCTTTATGCAGCACTTTATGTATTGTATTTTGATGATGACAGGGGGCAGGGTTTTACTTTTTGAGCATATTAACGCACGCCATTGCTGCCAACGCAACTTTTAGTTGACATCACCTGTACCCAGACCGAGTGTAAGTTTTTACATGCATGCGGACGTCCGCCTGTAGCATTAAGATTATTGGAAAATCTAGCAAAAAAAATATTTGGTATAAGTCAGTTTCTTCATACAAAGAAACGAGGTTAAAGATATTGCGTAAAAGGAAATATTGTAAATATAGAGAAATATTGGGGTAATACGAGGAAATACGGAGGAATCTAATGAAATATTTTCCTATGGAGAAATATTTATCCAAATTTTGGAAGGTGGTTTCCCCATCGATTTACAACGTGTAGGCAAAAAAATGTTGCGCTGTATTTCTTCTTAATAAAATCTCTGGCAACGTTATAACTTCTGGCAACGTTATAACTTCATGCGGACGTTAGCATTAATATTCGTGATAATAATAACTTCATACCAATTTTCGCAAACCCCATAAAACTTGACATTTTAAATTTTTATGCTGATTTAAGTGATCCTTTTAGTGAGATCAAAATTTGATCTTATTTCATTAAATGTGGCCACCAACCATATGGCGAAAACTACAGAACCTAGAAATTCAGTAAAAAAAATATATACTAAAATTGAAAAATGAAGGGACACCTAATCCACGAATTTGGATGGTGAAATTAGCATTTACCGGTGATTTAAAAAAAAAAAAAAAACGCGGAGCTGGAAATTTTTTTTCTTTAGTCGAACCTGTTCCATAAGTAAAGTGTTTAGAGAGTCATAGTTTCAACTTTCGCGCGACAAATTTATGAATAAAAAGGAGAGTGCATACGTCAATTTATACCGC